AGGCGGGGAACGTTGGAGTCTGCAGCAAGCAAGCCTCATGCTCGCTTCAGTGCCTGGCTGCCGGCCGCCATCTTGGCTGACAGTTAATTTGCATATACTCACTGATTAGCCAATGAAAAGGGTAGCGGTTGTACGCCAATTACCATGTTTCTCTTTTATTAGTGTAGATAGATTTTATGACATGGCTGTAGTTATTAAGAAATCTGAGGTCTGCCTTTCTTTGCTGGTGGCCACTCTAGGTCTATTTCCTTCTTTTAATGAAGTTATTTCTATTCATTACAAAAAACTCCGACATTACCAATGACTGATCTCACAGCACTGAAAGGAGTTAAGCCCTCACACCTCTACAAACTAAGGGTTTCTTCTAATGCTAACATTCCACCCGGTCCAGAACCACCACCTCAGGGCCTCGCAGGGTCTGGGCCAGGATCTCTCCTCTTTATATTTGTGTTTTGCTTGTGTGTTCACTTTTCTAGTCTTGCTTCTTGTTTGGCTCTTCCAGATACTGTGTGCTATGTGTATCCTTTCTTCTGTCTAGCCACCAGGTTTTTTTCCATGGGTCAAGTACAGAGACTAAGAATATGCAAGGGCCTGGGCAGCTCTCACCGGGACAGACTCATAGGTTCCCAGAGGTCTTTTTAGCTTTGCCCTTTAATCCTTTTGGAATCAAAGGATTAAAGGGCAAAGTCTGTCAGCTAACACCTGATTTGCTAACATCTGCTTCCTTTGGTAGATCACAAGGGGGAAAGAGAGGTCCAAAAGACCGGCAAAATTATGAGAATAACAATACTTTCTAAAACTCAGGTGGCTTTCCTTTTTTTTTTTAATATAAGCAAGCTTCTTGGTGGTTAACACAGAATCTACCTTACATATCACTAATCTTTTGGTCACCAGTAAACTATTTTTGTTATAGTAATCTAACTGAGTCAAGTACCATCTTATTTGATCTTTCTTTATGGTTCCCAAAACACACTACAATTGTTCTTTCTAGATGACATATGAAAGGTGAATGAAGGTGAATTACAGCTGACTTTCAGATATCCTCTGTGTTGTGCATATTATATACACTTGAGTGGCCAGATTATTATGACCACCTGACGTTTGTAGGCAAATTAGCTATAATTTCGCGCTGAAGTTGCTAGAGGGCCAGACCATTATAAATATGGAAGCAGGTTGTTTACCACGACAGAAGTGATTTTTTTCTGAAGATAGGGGTAAACAACGTGATTTGACAGCCTTTGAACGTGGGGTATATATACACTGAGTGGCCAGATTATTAGGACCACTTGACGTTTGTAGGCAAATTAGCCGTACACTGCATCGTATGGGATATGGAAGCCGAAGGCCTGTTCGAACACCTTTGCTGTCTGCAGTTACCAAGATACAACGTCTTCAATTCGCACAGGAACACAAGGATTGGTCAGTCGAGCATTGGAAAAAAAGTCATGTGGTCCAATGAATCACGTTTCCAGTTGCATCATGCAGATGGCAGAGTGAGAATTTGGCACAAACAGCATGAAAGCATGCACCCCACATGCATGAGTAAAATCCTTTAAGCTGGTGGGGGCAGTGCTATGGTTTGGGGCATGTTTTCCTGGCATGATTTGGGCCAGTGGTAGGCAAACTCATTAGTCAACAGAGCCAAATATCAACAGTACAACGATTGAAATTTCTTTTGAGAGCCAAATTTTTTAAACTTAAAC